CCTTTGTACATATATATATATATACATATGTACATATCACACATAGGCAAACCCATATATGTATATATATATATATATATGTAATATATATATATATATATTATCTTAAAATTTATATCACCCCAAAGACACCTTGGGTTCAGGGGCACTTGCAAAATGAGCCAAAGGCAGGGTTAGTTTCGACAGTGCACCCCAAGTCACGTGTCATCCCCAGAAATGAGAAGCGACCCTTGCTTCCCAAACCTCCATATTGTTGGTACCTTTTTGCAATCAGGGAGGATGGTCTTCACAAACCCTCCTCTGCACTTCCATGTTGGACAAAGGGTAGTTGAAATTACAAGGGACACCCCCTGAAAATGAAAAACACTTTGACCACACCGCTCTCTCTCCCTCTCTCTCTCTCTCTCTCTCTTTCAGCACTTGTTGTTTCTCCCCTGTGGTTTTAACCAACCAACCAAACCCCCAACGTATGCCATTTGGAGACAAATGCGAAGCCCAGGTCTGTACAGACTGGCTTTCCCTGCCTTTCCCGGAACGAAGCCGGTGTAGCCAGGCACGTTCACCTTATTCGATTCAAACGGCCGAACGGCCGGCGTCTTATGTTCAAGTTGCGCCAAGTCAAGACTGGGCAACTTTGCTTTGTTTCCTAACGCGCGCATACATGAAAATTCGCTTCAAGGTGCGGCATTCGCAGAAATCCAAGACTCACGACTTTGCTTCCCACGGGTGGTGTATCCTGCTTCGTGGGGGAGGGTTGTGGGTTCAACACCAGACCAGCAACCGGAACTAGCTGTTGCATTGGGATTCAAACTCAGCTGTTCTCCTCTGGAGTCCTACATGTTGATCACATAGCTCAGAATACGGCCCAAATCCTCTCTTGGTTAAATTGAATTCACTGCAACTGCCCGGCATTGTCGGCCTCCACCTTTTCAGCTGCCCCGACTGGCCTGTCCAAAAGCTAGCTTGTCTTGTGGCTCAAGATAGTGTACTTGGGAGCAGCGGGCATGCGTGTTGATGCAGGCCGAACACAAGTCAGTCAACAATCCCAAAGCACTCCGTACAAAATCAGCACAAAATACTTGGCGGTTTTTCTGATGTTGGGTACGTGTACGGGAGAAGCATTGCGATCAATGAGTGTCGCTGTGTCAAACCCCTGACATTGCAGTAACACACGCCTCGATGTTAGGTGGCCTGCCATGGACAAACACGCTATCACATTTAGGACCACGAATCAGAAGTTAGTTTCGACCAATGCCGTCGGCATTGTATGACACATGTTTTTGAAGGACGAGAAGAGGAGGCTTGCTCTCATGCGAGCCAGAAGCACACACGAGTCACCCAGGTCCCAAATGTCAAAAGTAGGTCTCACATTTGTACCCCATGAAGCTACTAGTCCCCACTGTTGATCCAACTAGCAAAGCGGTCAACAGGTGAGACTATTGGCGGAAGCGGTTTTCTTTGATACGAAGAACATGCGGATTTACACTTTCTTTGGAACTGGATACTCATTTCTGCAACGGAGGTAAATAGGCACTTTTGGACCCAGGATGGAAGCTCCCCAAAGTCGGCTGCCATGAACGGGGAAGCGGGAGCGAAGCAACCATTGGGGGGAGTGGGCGCCAAAACCCTGGTACTTTGCCTGGGTATCCTCTTTCCAGCAAACATGGAAAAGCACAAAGGTGACATCCGCCATGACCAAAGCATCAATCCAAGCCACACCACAAAACATGGATGAGGCGTCCGCTTAGACAGGGAGACTGTGCACTTCATTGGTGGGAGGGGTCTTTCTTTGTCTGGCAACGTCTCGGAAATGCGTGGCAAGCACCTAAGTCCCCGTACTTTCTGGCCAATCTTGCGGTGATGCAACTGCAGGCACTTTCATGAGTCCGTATTTATCACCATGAACCCCCATGAAACCTTCCCATGAAACCTTCCCATGATACCCCTTGCAACGCCGAGCCTTCCTCACAGAAAAGAAAAAAGAAAAAAAACACATTCTTCCCGAGGAGATTTCCGCCGTGGCGCCGAGGGAAGGTGCCCCAATTGCACCCCCGCCGTCTCCGTGGTGGTGGTCCGCGCAGCTGGTCGCCGCTCCCCCAAGGGCAGGGAGGGCACGCGGTGTAGGGACTGGCGGCCTGGAACCAAGGCTAGATCCTCCAGTAGAGAGGTTGGAATAAGGGTACCAACTTTTTTCGTAGTCTATTTTAGTAGGGGAATTCTCCCCACAAAAAAGTTGGTAAAAGGGCACTACTGGGGGACCTAGAAGGGAAACCACTTGCTTTGGAGTTCCCGTGAGGCAAACCCACTTGAAAGCCGATTGATTACAAGGCTGTGGGTCAAACATGGGTAACAAAAATGGGTACCCAAAATAGAACCCTGGTAAATGGAACCAAGGACGAAAATCTGCGGCTCAATTCCTGGTGGCTTAATTTTGACTCACACCCACAACTGCTGGGATGAGAACTGAGCCAGGGCTGAAGCGGGGTGTCACCCAAGAAAGCCACCGCCCTTTGCCGGAGATGACACGAACCAATAAACAACCAGCTGATTTTAGCATCAATTAACGAATCAATAAACAACTCTGGGCGGCAAAACAATGAATAAGAAAAGCGCAGAACACCCACCCACCCACCCACCCACCCACCCACCCACGCAGGCACGCACGCACGCACGCACGCACGCCCGCGCACACACACACACAGAGAACACACACACAGGGAGAACACACACACACAAACCCTCAAACCCAAGCCGCTTGTGCCACCCGCCGAAGGCGCCTGCGCCGCTCACCGTGCTGATGCAGCTCGCGCTGCGGCTGCGTTGGCTCAAGCCAGACCGCTGGGAGCACGAGGAGGGCGGAGGCTTGATGGTCCTCAGCTCAAGATCTGAGGCTTACCTTCCTGGGCTGCCCTCAGATCCCCCGCTAAAAGTTTAACTTTTAGTGGGTTAAATGGAAACTACCACTAAACACTGAAAGGCTGAAAAGCTAAGGGGATGGCTGGGAGCCACCAAGCTTCCATTTGCTTTTTCGCCCCCTGGAAGAAATGAGAAAATATGTCCAGTAGTGAAATGGATTCCCTCTACAAACCAACACGGGAAAATAAGCATATTCTTAAGCAAATGGATGTTGCAGTCTTAATTATAAGAATTGGAGGCGGGCCCTTTGGGTTCTTCAATGTTTGAATCACATTTTGGGTCTGCTTTGGGTCATGATTGTCAGCTCGAAGCCGCCGAAAAGCGGGGGGTCGAGCCAAAAGGAACAGGGCCCGAGGACCGTGGATTGCGTACCCTCAACATAGGCGCTGCGAGGGATGGTGGTGGTTGAGACCAAAAAACGGCTTTGTAGACCGTTCAACGGCAAACCTCCAGGACGCCATTTGGACGGTAATTAGTCATTGGCATAGAACTTTGGACAGCAAGCATCTTTTGGGCTTAGAGGCCAACAACAAATAGCACCTGTCAAATCAAAGTAAATGACTTGCTCATTGGACGATTTGGAAAAAATGCAACGATCCCTTGAAGCATTTGGCTGCTGCGAAGCCCTTGACTTTGATTCCCCATTCACCCGGAGATCTTCAAACTGGAGCCGTTGCCTTTCGACCTCGGCATCGTGCGGAAGGCTGTGACTGGATGTGCGCCATGAAACCAAACTCCGATGTGAACTGGTTGCTTAGTTGTGGGTCTGGACCAATCTATCTCCTTTTGGTGTCTTTCATCGGAAACAAACAATGAGCTGTGGGAAACAAAGAAGCCGTCACACCTCGGTTGACGTTGGAAGGGGAGCAAACAAACAAATAGCAGTTCAGTGGTTGGTTTTCCCACTAAACCACAATAAGCAAATGCAAAATGTTTCCCAACAACAACCACCACACAATGTGGTTCCCCCCCGAAAGTGGGGCGCCGTTCAAACCGAGAAGCTGAACCAGGTCTGGATCCATTGCGCGGAGCGATCGAATCCTTCTCTCTGAGTCTTGAAGTCGTGAGTTCTGTTCGTCGCTTTCACGGGCTGTCAATAGCTCCGTTTTCACATCTCTAAGGTGTCTGCCTCTGGGCTCCAATGACGAGGTGTCTGTGGCGTGCGGTCTTTTCCCGTGCTCTCTGGCGTGCGGTTCGATGATACGTCGCCCATTTCAAGGAGCCTTGAACCCGAAAGGCCGCACGGCGGAATACTCGACGGAGAAGGAGGCATTCACACGCTTCTTTGGGATTTCAATACCCTTGGATGCAGGAACCATACAGCGCAACAAACAACGCAAAGAACTTCACTCCAGCAAGACCGCCTCCTCAATCCGCAACTGTCAGACGACAATTTGCGGACACCCCCATCTCCAAGCACGACTCTATCCTCAGATATATTACAAAGGAAACACCAGAAACAGGTTGGTTTTCTTGTAGTTCCCTTCCGAAAATTGCCCCCAAACCTTCGACTGCTTCGCAGGCCAAAGTCCCATCTAAGAGTGGTTGTACATACCCCGCCGCCCCCGGTCATACCCGTCATACCACTCAGTCGACTGGTCACAAACCCACTTTTTTTTTCTGTTGCGGGAAGAGGGTATAAACAACAGCAAGCCACTGACACAGTAAATCGAACAGAAGACCCCTTTATGACAAACATGGTCTGTCAAGTACCTTCTATCCTTCTTGCTAGTGGGTGTATATATATATAATATTTACTACTGTGTCTTTCTTTCTGGGGTCCCTTTAAAGGTGTTCTCCAGGAAAACCAAAACGATGCCCTTCACGTCATTCATTCGTGAAGCCCAGAAAGACCTGAGAGGAAAATCCCAAGGGCGGCAAAGGGTCCAAAGCAACCAGTTTTGAACGAGGTCAATCACCCAGGAATCGTCAAGCCCTTGGCAGCTGTTTTCTTTTTTTGGGGGCGGGAGTGTTGGGTGTCCCATTTCAGAGGGCAAACCCTTCTTCTTGGTTTCTTCGGAACACCTCCGAGTGGTTGATTCATCAGTCGAAGCCGACCCTTGGAGCTCGCGTGGAAGGCGCGCCGTTCATGGCGCAGACATCGTAGATGCCGAGGATCGCCAGAAGCGCGGCGAAGAGATCAGTGCCTGGCAGGAGTTCTTGAAGATGGCGCAATTTTGAAGGGTCACCCTTTTGAGGAGAGGTTTTGGGGGCTTGCTTTTGCCATGCGGGCCCAGACCCAAAAAGACCGGCGAGTTTCGGATCCGGATAGCGCTTTTGTCGACCGGAGCAGTGCTTCCCTCAGGTCTCTTCAGGTATGTTCCTTGTAGCCTGTCCGTTGCGGTAAATCTCTGCTGTCGCAACACCCGTTCAAAGTGCTACTGTATGCTACACTCTTTGGGCGTACTGCATGGGTCGGCCAACTCCGAGTCTTTTTTGGCCGGCTCGACTATCTTGGGTCCAAGTACCTTCAAGATACCTTGACCCTTTTTGACCCACTCCAAACCCATCCTCAAAAGGTGGAAGGGGATCGAATCACTCTGAGCTTCCGTCATCTTCCGTGCCTCCGCCCATGAAATCCCCCAGGAGGGCGCTGGAATTCAGGGTCCTCGGAGGCGCGAACGCTGGGAGTTCTCTTCTGGTGACAAGGAAACTCACCGGGTGCGTCTTGAAATAGGGGACCCTCCCCCCCAACAAAAAAAAAAAAAAAAAAAAAAAAAAACAGAACAAGAACCCTCCCCCCCGCCCCAAAAAAAAGAAAGAAGAACAAGAACCCTCCCCCCCCCCAAAAAAAAAAAAGACAAGAAAAAGAAAAGGTGGGTTTCCCCGTTGCCTCATGAAGCCAAACCCAGAAAAGGTAGCCACAAAATGACCCAATGGAAGATCCAGCTGCTGCCCAGTTTTCGGCTCTTGTTTCTTTTTTGGGGCCCCGAGGGTCGAGCTGTAACCCTTATGGGCAGTTGGAAAATCAGGGATCGTAGCAAGGAAGATTTGGGCCACATCATTCCGACACCCCTAAACCACATGTGGAGGCGAGGGTTCCTTGATGACGAGTCTAGCACCCCTCGTACTCCCATCTCTCTCAAGCTTTCTGAATGTTTGCCCGAAACCAAGCCACTCACTCCACCCAAAAGCACTCCGAACGAAACGAGCGAGCCCCGGTCGCCGGTCAAAAGGCCCGCCAAAGACATCCCTTCGGCCGAAAGTCGAGCGCAGGAAGCCCAAGACGAAGCAGATCCAGGCCTGATCCACGGAGAAACCGAGTCCATTTTGGGCATCGCCCCAAAAACGAAAGGGGCTTTCTGCGTTCCATGTCCGGGTGAACCAAGAGGAGTACCCTCAAAACAACACACACACACACATCCATTTGCCTTGCCTAAACTTCACATTGGGAGTGTCCAGTTGCAGTTTCACAGTTTCAGGGATGTGTTCAATTTTCCAGAGCTCCCCAGGCTTTCGAAGCAGATGAAAATGCCGCTGCTTGGGCATTGCAGGTCCAAATGGTTCCAGCGCCCAAAAGGCTTCCAGCCGTGAAGAAGCCGTTCTTTCTCAGAATGTAAAGAAGAAACAACGAATTCTAGTTCAAATGTAGAGGCTGCCCAGGACAGAGGGCGTGAAGGCCAAACTTCATGTGCGCGGCACCATCTCTCCCATCCCACCTCACGCTCCAAGCCCGACAGCTGCTGAGCGATGAAGGGCGTCCTGGCACTCAGCCCAGTCCTCTCCCCCGAAGTATGAGGTAAGCCGCCAAACGCGGAAAGAGCAAGAGCTGTTGGCCCGAAGTTTGGGTCACCAGCTCAATGCGGCAAGTTGGATGCCTTTCCTTCCAAAAGTTGCAACAATTTTTGCTGGGACAGATTCGAACCCCTACGATTGATGGCTCTTGACCCCCATGTCCATGATGTCCACAAGAGTTCAACCACTTGAATTGCATACCCAGTCTGTCTTACCTAGTTACCAGAGTCAAACACTCCATGCAACCAAATCAATTCTTAGTTGAAGGGCGAATGTCCCATGCTTGAGAGGAGCCTTCAACGGAAAAGTAACGCTTTTAATTCGGGGCCGATGACATTCAAACTGAGGAACCCCGTTCACGGTTGCAAGCGTCAAACTATCCAGACCCTTTTTGTTTACTCTGGGGAAAACTCCAAGCACACAGATTACTTAGCACACAGCGTCCTATTTTAACTCACGTTCATGGGAATACGCCGAACACCCGGTACTTACAGAAACAGATTTACTTGTTGTTTCTCCAGCAAGCCGAGAGAAGACATTTATTTGTCAATGACCTTTCCAAAAAGTGGCACCCCACAGGGGGACAGGACTTGATACAAAAAGTGTCTTTCAAAATGCAAATAAGGCCGCAAAACATGCCTTTTTCCAAAGACTCTTCCACAGAAAATGCTGTCGCACAAAACAAGTCTTTGACAAAGACCCTTCCACCGAAAAAAATACCGGTATCTTCTTACACGTGCACGCACACGTGCGCGCACGCACGCGCAAATCACAGACATGCGGACGCACAATACACACCCACACAGCTACGCAAACACTCACGCAAACACAGACACACAAACACACATAGACACAAAAACAGAAAAACACAAAACACAAAACACACAAAAACAAAACACACAAACACACACACACACATACACAACACAACACAACACAACACAAAAAACCAAAACACAACACAACACAACAACGCACAACACAACACAACACAACACAACACAACACAACACAACACAACACAACACAACTACACAAACATACATACATATACATTACATTACATTACATTACATTACATTACAGTACAATACATTACATTACATTACATTGCACTAATACATTACATTGAATCACATTACATACATACATTACATATATTACATATATTACATATATTATATACATACATACATACATGCATACATACGTACGTACGTACGTACGTACATACATACATACATACATACATGACATACATACATACATACATACATACATACATACATACATACATACATACATACATTACATACATACATACATACATACATACATACATACATACATACATACATTACATACATACATACATACATACATACATACATACATACATACATACATACATACATACATACATACATACATACATACATACATACATACATACATACATACATACATACATACATACATACATACATACATACATACATACATACATACATACATACATACATACATACATACATACATACATACATACATACATACATACATACATACATACATACATACATACATACATACATACATACATACATACATACATACATACATACATACATACATACATACATACATACATACATACATACATACATACATACATACATACATACATACATACATACATACATACATACATACATACATACATACATACATACATACATACATACATACATACATACATACATACATACATACATACATACATACATACATACATACATACATACATACATACATACATACATACATACATACATACATACATACATACATACATACATACATACATACATACATACATACATACATACATACATACATACATACATACATACATACATACATACATACATACATACATACATACATACATACATACATACATACATACATACATACATACATACATACATACATACATTACATACATACATACATACATACATACATACATACATACATACATACATACATACATACATACATACATACATACATTACATACATACATACATACATACATACATACATACATACATACATACATACATACATACATACATACATACATACATACATATACATACATACACATACATACATACATACATACATACATACATACATACATACATACATACATACATACATACATACATACATACATACATACATACATACATACATACATACATACATACATACATACATACATACATACATACATACATACATACATACATACATACATACATACATACATACATACATACATTACATACATACATACATACATACATACATACATACATACATACATACATACATACATACATACATACATACATACATACATACATACATACATACATACATACATACATACATACATACATACATACATACATACATACATACATACATACATACATACATACATACATACATACATACATACATACATACATACATACATACATACATACATACATACATACATACATACATACATACATACATACATACATACATACATACATACATACATACATACATACATACATACATACATACATACATACATACATACATACATACATTACATTACATACATACATACATACATACATACATACATACATACATACATACATACATACATTACATACATACATACATACATACATACATACATACATACATACATACATACATACATACATACATACATACATACATACATACATACATACATACATACATACATTACATACATACATACATACATACATACATACATACATACATACATACATACATACATACATACATACATACATACATACATACATACATACATACATACATACATACATACATACATACATACATACATTACATACATACATACATACATACATACATACATACATACATACATACATACATACATACATACATACATACATACATACATACATACATACATACATACATACATACATACATACATACATACATACATACATACATACATACATACATACATACATACATACATACATACATACATACATACATACATACATACATACATACATACATACATACATACATACATACATACATACATACATACATACATACATACATACATACATACATACATACATACATACATACATACATACATACATACATACATACATACATACATACATACATACATACATACATACATACATACATACATACATACATACATACATACATACATACATACATACATACATACATACATACATACATTACATACATACATACATACATACATACATACATACATACATACATACATACATACATACATACATACATACATTACATACATTACATACATACATACATACATACATACATACATACATACATACATACATACATACATACATACATACATACATACATACATACATACATACATACATACATACATTACAACATTACATACATACATACATACATACATACATACATACATACATACATACATACATACATACATACATACATACATACATACATACATACATACATACATACATACATACATACATACATACATACATACATACATACATACATACATACATACATACATACATACATACATACATACATACATACATACATACATACATACATTACATACATACATACATACATACATACATACATACATACATACATACATACATACATACATACATACATACATACATACATACATACATACATACATACATACATACATACATACATACATACATACATACATACATACATACATACATACATACATACATACATACATACATACATACATACATACATACATACATACATACATACATTACATACATACATACATACATACATACATACATACATACATACATACATACATACATACATACATACATACATACATACATACATACATACATACATACATACATACATACATACATACATACATACATACATACATACATACATACATACATACATACATACATACATACATACATACATACATACATACATACATACATACATACATACATACATACATACATACATACATACATACATACATACATACATACATACATACATACATACATACATACATACATACATACATACATACATACATACATACATACATACATACATACATACATACATACATACATACATACATACATACATACATACATACATACATACATACATACATACATTACATACATACATACATACATACATACATACATACATACATACATACATACATACATACATACATACATACATACATACATACATACATACATACATACATACATACATACATACATACATACATACATACATACATACATTACATACATACATACATACATACATACATACATACATACATACATACATACATACATACATACATACATACATACATACATACATACATACATACATACATACATACATACATACATACATACATACATACATACATACATACATACATACATACATACATACATACATACATACATACATACATACATACATACATTACATACATACATACATACATACATACATACATACATACATACATACATTGCATACATACATACATACATACATACATACATACATACATGCATTACATACATTACATTACATTACATTACATTACATTATATTACATTACATTACATTACATTGCATTACATTACATTACACTCATACATACATACATACCTACCTACATACATTACATACATGCATACATTACACACATACATGCATGCATACATACATACACATACACATACACATATACGCTATTCACACGCACGCACACGCACACGCACACACAGTCAAACACAAACACACACACACACACGTGCACACACAGGCACACGCACACGCACACGCACACACACAAAGAAATACACACACAAACACACACACACAAACACAAACACACACACACACAGACGCACACACAAACACACACACACACACCACGCACCCACGCACGCACGCACGCACGTACGCATGCACACACTCACACACACAAACACAAAGACACTAACACAAACACGAAAACGTAGACACACACACACACACACACACACGCCCACGCACCCACACACACACGCACGCGCGCAGGCACGCAAGCATGCACGCACCCACACGCGAACACACAGAAACACAAACACAAACACAAACACAAACGCAAGCACACGCACGCGCGCACGCACCCGCAACACACACACACACCTGCGCGCACACGCACAGGCACGCGCACATACGCACGCACCCACACACACACACGTGCACGCACGAACGCGCACGCGCGCCCACACGCACACCAACACACACACACACACACGCACACGCGCGCACACGTGCACGAACACACGCAGGCACGCGCTCGCATCACGCACGCACGCACACGCTCGTGCTCACCAACAGGCCTCTTGCCGCAGGACCCGGTTTGCACCAAACACAACCGACACAACCTCATAGCAAACCGGGGTACGTTGGCGACGTTGGCTATAAGCTACTTGCAGATAGGCCGATTCCTTGTTGGACCCTGGCGTAATGGGCTGCCAACTCTTTTTTTAGAACCCAATGGAGGGTTTTTACACGGTTTTCTTTTCGTTGGATCCCCGAAAAACCCAGCATCTAAGGGTCCGCATTGTGAGAAACACCCAATTGCCATGAGCATTCCTCCCTGGCCTTTGCAGGAAGCGCAGGCGTGGCAAGGGTGGCGCGCAAAGCGTGGCGCACAGCCTTCCAAGAGTCGAGGGGTGTCTCGTGGGTTAAGGCTAACCCTTGGCCATTTGGGCGATGTTTTTTCTGGTTGTGTAGGGCCTTGTCACTTCTTTTGTTTTCTTGCGTACGCCTACACCAAAGGCGCCGAAAACGCCTGCGCCCTGACTCCCTGCCTACGCGCGGACGCGACAACGAGACTCAACACGTTTAGGTCTGCGCAGCATTGTAAGAGCACTTTGGCAGCTCCAGCTTGAAAATCACAACTTGTCAATACAAGTGTGGCACATGCAGTGCACTTTGGCGAGTTTGGCAGCTCCGGGAAGCCTACGCGAGATCTGCCTGACTTCTTTGAGACACGGCATATTTGTTGGACACGCAGGGCTTCGCAAGCCGTCAGACCATCCCCGCAACAACGCTTCACATCATGTTAACCAACCAAGTTGTCGCCTACGCCACGGCCTACGCGAGGCCTCGCAACAGGAGCCTCCGCGAAATGCCTACGCCTGCCTGCGCTGGTGTGGCCCTGTCAGGCAACATGCAACAAATGCTGCCACGAAGATGTGGGCCTTCATCCCAACAAAAAAAACTGCCAATTTTTAGAGGTCTTCGGAAACAGGGTTCATAGTTCTTCGTGTATTGTATTGGCGTATGCATTTAGTCTGTGAACGCAGAGGGTCGGTCCAAATTCAAAGGCCGCGTTAGTATCCCGTTTAAAGAGCGGCACCTGGCGGCCATACTCTTCTGTGGGTCATGGTCAGCAATCCCTCAATTGGAAGCCTTGTTGTCTCTAAAATGCCTTTTGGGCCCATTGCCATCTCATGTAACCATGTAACCTTAAGCTTTAAGCAAACATAAATTCTGACCACATTGAGATGAATCGGGCGCCCAAGAGTCTAAGAGGTAGACGTCATGGGGGATTTATGCCTCCTACGATGTCTTGGTAAGGCCATGAAAGCCGCTTCTTTCATCTCAAGGCGTGTGCAGAGTGAGCCGCTAATATTCATGTCTGACACGGGGATTCACTTGTCCCCCTCACTTTACCAATTTCGTGGTGAATGTACCCCACGTCCCTTTTAATGCCATGGTATATTTGACCTCAACAAACAAGGTCTTTTCGGACAGTTAAAGCCGCCTTTCGCATTCAAGACTCTAAACTTCAAGGTGTTTTATCCGCACCCATTTGTGGCTAAACGTTGTCCCTTGCAATTATCCGGATTTTGATTGCGACTCAGGTGGCATGCAGTAGAAACAATCTAATGCTGCGGCGAATGGACAATTCAATGTTACTCAAAAACAACCTGGGCTGCCCTCAGATCCCAGCTAAAAGTCTAACTTCTAGTGGGTTAAATGGAAGCCCCCACTAAACCCTAAAAGCTAAAACATGCGATGGGGATGGGTGGGAGCCACCAAGAACAGTATGGGCCATGGTTGCTCCAACTCTCAAAAGGCGTTGCCCAAGGAATGGCCAGAACAAGCGACATGGACTGGTTGCTTGGGTTGTTTTGTAGGAAACTTGGTGCTGTCGATGTAGACACATTTAAGGCAAGACACTATTCATGTTGACAGGTTCGAACAAAGAGCTCGGAGTATGATCGGTGTGCGCATCCCAAAAGTCCAGGATCCCATCCCAGATATTTTTTTAGGGGACCCCCAAATGGTGGTTGTCCTTTTGGTTTCCCGTCAAACCACAGCCAACAAGGGCAATTACCATCAAAACAGACACACCCATATGGCTCGCGGAGCAAAACCTCACAAGGTGATTCACACGACATTCCGGCAACAAAAAAAAGGCCCAGGACGAAATTTGTCAATGCCCACGCTCTGAGCGACTGCGCTGTTTCTCTTGCACAGCGCCCGAGTCGACAGCTGCACGCGTCGCGAGTCGCAATGGCAACACCAAATCCTAAGCGGGCCCTTCCCCGGAGCAACACATCTGATATGCCGCAACCGGCTGCCGCAGCTCCCGCCGCGTCTGCCAGACTGTCACCTGACCAGCGAACCAGCTTGGTGGCAATGACGCCAGTACCGTTCCCTCTGGGTGCCATGCTTCGCTTGTCAACGTTGGCTCATATCATGTTGTTTGAAACCAAAAGAGTCCAGGGAGGGAAAACCCGGTCGAAAAAAGAATCCTTCCAGGCCCCTTCCTCGAATCATGAACTTGGCTGCAACAAGCGCTCCGCACATCCGAATCCCCTCCAGAAACGAAGCAAATCCGTAAACTTTAACCTGATGCACCCATCAGTTTCCTCCAGCTCGACCAAGTCCAGTCGCACACCAAAAAAAAAGAAGCAAGCGCACAAGCAGACAAGCAAACAAGCAAACAAGCACACAAGCGCGCAAACACACAAACGGACAAATGCACAAAAAAAAACAATGCACAAACGCACACACGCCCAAACACACAAACACACAAACAAACAAACAAACAGACAGACAGACAGACAAACAAGCAAGCAAGCAAGCAAGCAAGCAAGCAAGCAAGCAAGCAAGCAAACACACACACACACAGAACAAGCAAACACCCAAAGACGCAAAACGCCACACACACAAGAAACACGCGCAAACACACACACACAAACACACAAACAAACAAACAACCCCCCCCCAACAAAACCACAACACCCAACAAGACAACCCCCAACAAAACAACCCCCAGCAAACAACCCCTCTGGGCCTTTTTAAGCTTTGACCCTTAAGGTTCAAGCAGGGACCAGAGTCGAAGCTAGTTTTGTTTGTTGCGGGCAGCCGAGGTAGCTATTGAGCCCCTGCTTTATGAAACATCGGCGGCACAGCAGCTAATTTGCCACAGGGAATCAAGCACGCCAGCGGAGATACTCATAAGTGCATACCACTATGGACATGTACATGTATATGTATTCACATACGCATACACATATATATATATATACATATATATATATACAACAAATGTTCCCGTCGCCCGTCGTCCCCTGCCCCCCTCCCCCCATGGTATGGGTGGGGTGGGAACCATGGACTACCCATCCCACAGGGGGGCTTGTACGGTCACACTGTGCTACCTTCCTGACTGATGACCATTGGGGCGGGGTAGGGGGGCCAAGGAAGGCAGGATCATATATATATATATATATATATATATGTACATACAATACATGAATATGTAACTGCAAAATCCCATGAAAGCTTTGTGAGTAAAGTCCTCCGAGAATGGGCCGATGAGAGGTTAGAAGCAGGGTACCGACTTTTTTCTGTAGTCTATTTTAGTGGGGGAACCCTCCCCCGAAAAAGGGTGGGGGACCTAGTTACACAGCTGACACACACACACACAAAGAAATCAAGTGCATGCCCAGCTTGACACCAACACAGCCACCTGCGCAAATGGTCCCAAGCCATACACGCAGCTCCCATGTCCAAAGCTGAGAGCACGGCAAGATGCTGGAGATGACAAAATACCTGGGTCGGAAAAAAAACACAAAAACAGTGGCACTGTCCATGGCAAAATACATGTTCAACCTCTGTCTCTTTCACCGTTCGCCTGAAACAAAACTCCAGAATCACATCCAACATTGTTGGGAGCCCAGGGAGGGTCCAGGGTTGGGCAGCACAAGGATTTTGTAGATTCCTTGTGAAGGAGCTGACGGATTAATCAAAAGCACAATGCGATCGAATCAAGGGTCAACCTCGAGGATTCCGAGAAAACATCAGCCACTCGGGCGAGGCCGCACACTTGAGTGCTTCAAACGGAGAGCCCATATCCATGCTGAAGCAACAGGGCCTCGCCCGATCTTCCGGTTTTTAAATGCCACTCTTCATAGACTGGCCGGGGGCAGGGGCCATCAAAAACTCCGTCTCTGTAGGCTATGGTCATGGCTTCAGGGGATCCATGCCCAACCATGGCACATATGATTGAGGCACAAAAATATCCACAGGAATCGGAACGGTGAGCATGCAGTTCCCTTCAAGGACCCCACAGATTTTGGGGCATCCGAGCTGCATAAGAACCAGCAGTAGCAGAAGCAGCACCAGGATCTGTGGCCCGTAGCTTGCCATGTACCTGATAGGACAAACCAAGGGTGAAAAACAAATACAACTGAGGTCAAAACCCGGAGGTTCTCCGAAGAATGAGCATCATTCTTACCACTCGCCAAGTCCCATGTGTGTGTTGACCTGTTACATCAGCCCACTGCAACATAACATTGAGCATCAGCTTGAAGACATTGAAGTTGGGAGGATAATCGAAGAACGTCGAAAGGTGTGACAACCCTTTGGACACATTGTGCCTGGCCCGGGAAGGGGTGGGTGTACTTGTTGAACATGATCCAACAAACGAAGACATGTGGCATTTCTCGCTTGGGGGAAGGATGAAAGATCCCGACTTCCTGTAGAGCTTTCTGGGGCTCTAATTTGCTGTGCACCTTTGATTTCGCGGGAATTTCGGAATGGCCCTTTGCCTCAGGCATCTGGGCGGCAAATTCATCCCCACGACTGACATGATGATTCGCTGGGTACACGACCTTTGCTTTGGTGAGTTGGCAATGCCCTCTTGGAAGGGGCCCCAAAGCAATGCAAACTGCGTGAAAGCATGGTCCATTTCGGAGGGACATTTGGACGTCTACAACTTCGAGCCACGAAAACCAGAGGACTCTCTGCTGCAATGTCAAGATGTCTGGCGCAGATTTGTGCTTGGCGTGTTTCATGGATGGAGATTTCCAGTGCTGTCCCCCTTTTCTACGATTGACAAAACCAAGGACGGGATAGTAAACTGTTGACACCAAAAGGAACAAAAGGAAACTGGTCTCAAACGATGTTTTTCTTGCCAACAGGGCGCCATTCGTCCTTTGCCATGCTCGATTTCCTATTTGACTGGTCCGGATTGGGGCCTCATTGCGACTGGAATTCCGATCGGGCCCCAAATTCCATGGAATCGGCCCGAACTCCCAAGCTTGGTCAACACCCGCAAAACCAGCTACTCCCTGCAGATTAAGACGACCGCGCCCCCCCAAGAATGGTGTCTAGGCAGAACTCGCTTTGTTGGATTC